AGTCAGGCTTCCCTGGTGCTGTTGCAGGCGAGCTGGTCGCCCCCTCCATAGCCCACGTCCCCCACCTCAGCGTCCAGCTTTCTGTGGGGTCGTAAAGCCCTAACCCCTAAACCCTAAACCTAAACTCGTGTGTGCGAATGTAAAAAAGTGCAGCAACCGGGTTTTAGGTCGGGCTGGGCAGTAATCCTTACAACCCCAAACATTCCCGTATGAAGGTCTGCAGGGCGCAGGGTTCTATGTTCCGGACACATGCCCTTGTAGCAGTGTCGGAATGCAGTACCCGGCCATACGTGGTGCAGCCAGCGTTGCCCAGTGCCCCCACACTGGGTTTAGGGTTTAGGGTTTAGGGTTTAGGGTTTAGGGTTGTGCTCCCGCCCTGTGGTGGGGGGGAGGGCTGGAGGTGCTGCCCGGAGGCCACAAAGACGGCCGTGGGCTTGGCCCCCTGGTTCTGCACGAAGTCTTGCATGCCTGGCGAAGTCACGGCGGATGAGGCGGATGAGTCTTACAACCTAAAACCCTAAACCCTAAACCCTAAAGTAGCCCCAAAAAAGGTTCAACCCTAACTCCCTGCAACCCTGAACCCCCAAAGCCCTAGCTCCCAAGACCCTATTAAATCCCTGAAGCCCCAAAATGGTTCAACCCCAAAAAACCTACAGCCCCAACCCTACAAACCCTCCTCTAAACCCTAAAAACCCGAACAACCGAAGCCGTAAACCCTAAACTCTAAACTCTAAAACCCTAGAACCTTTCTTTCTTTGAGCTTGTAAGTTCTCAGGTGGTGACATGGTCCCTTGGTATGAGCCCATGATCGGGGACCCCTTATATACCCCGTATAAAGGGCCCATATTTCAGAACTCTTGAAGGAGGTAGGGGACCATACTAAGGGCCATGAAACTACCCTCAGAAACTTGCTAGACAGGAGGACTCCAGGGTGCCCTGCTTGGTTTCAAAAAGGCCTTGTAAGGGAACAGAAACCCTGGAAAAGGGAATAAGGGCCCACTCACTGGGGCCCTAGTAGCCCTAAACCCTAAACCTTTAGGGTTTCGGGCTTAGGGTGTGGAAGTTTGGTGTTTAGACTTTAGGGTTTAGAGTGTAGTTTAGGGTTGAGGTTCGACCTGCTCAGTGCTTGAAGTTTGATTGGGAGTTTAGGATTCTAGGTTTCAGCTTCCCCAGCAACCTGACAACAAAACTCTTTTGCACCATGGGGTTCATTAGAAGAGAACGGATCAAAACCCTAAACCCTAGACACAAACCCCAACGGCTAGTCCCTAAACCGTCAAGCCCTGCAAACCCTAAATCCTAGACACCTAAAACCCTGAAGGCCTAAAACCCTGTAAACCCTGAACCCACCCAAAACTATATCCCTAAACCCTGAACCCTAAACCCTAAACCCTAAACCCTAAAATCCTAAACCCTATATCAACCCTCAGCCTTTCACGCTGCAGCTCCCCTCCCCGGCCTTCATAGAGGCTGAAGGCACCTTCGTAAGCACCTGGCACGGTTTAGGGTTTAGAGGTTTAGGGTTTAGAGGTTTTAGAGGTTTAGAGGTTTTAGGGTTTAGGGTTTAGGGTTTAGGGTTTAGGGTCTAGGGTTTGGCACATCTCGCCGCACCGTTTATGCTCCAAGTTGCCTTGGTGGATTTCTAAACTTCTCGAAATGCTAAACCCTAAACCCTAAACCCTAAACCCTAAAGCCCTAAACCCTAACTGCGATTGAGAGCCAGCTTCATCGGGCCTACCGGGTAAGAGGGCTGTAGAGAGCTTTCTGGGGGTTTACAGGGTTTAGAGAGTTTATAGGGCTTATAGGTCTTGCAGGGTTTGCAGGTTCTTTTTAAGGGTTTAGAGGGTTTATAGGGTTTATAGGGCTTTCAAGGTTTCAGGATGTTTGGGCTTAATGTTAACGTTAGGGTGGCAGACGTGGGCCTTACAAACAACCTAAGGGTCCACGACCACGTGGCCAGTTCCCTGAGTCATGGCCCCTTTCAGGGCGCCTGAACCCTAAACCCTAAACCCCACCCTAAACCCACACGCCAAATATCAAGGCCCACATTGCCGCACGCACTATCATCGTAGCCTGACATTCGGGAGCCCACCCTGCACCTTGCTAGGGTTGTATTCTCGTCGGTAGTCAGAACCTGGGGGTACTTCTGCAGGCTTAGGCTTGGAAAATTTGGAGTTTACTATAGGGGTCGGAATAATTGCTAATAGTAATCCCTTACGGCCCCTTTTTTTAATACACTATAATAACCTCCAAAACCCTATTCTAATTCTTAAGGCCACAAAATTAGAGGGTGGTTGAAGTATGGGATTGAGGTAAGTGCTATACACGCAGGCGCCAAAGGCACTCTACGTGGATGGCCCATAAAACCCTCTGAAAAATATTCCTAGGTCTGATCCTCTTAAACCCAAAAAGGGGAAATATACAATATTCCTAGAGATGATCCTCTTAACGGAAAATGTAAGATATCCCAACGGCCTACCTAGTCTATAAGAATACGGTCAAGTCGTAAACCCCCGGTAAGCCCAAAACCTGAAAACCTTAACTATTAACACGAAGCTCGAAACCCTCATCCCACATATCCGCAATTTAAGGTAACCCTCTAAACCCTTGCTCATAACCGCTGAAACCTAAACCCTAAACCCTAAACCCTAAACCCTAAACCCTAAACCCTAAACCTGGTAGGGCTTGCCCAAGGCGCTTTTCCCCATGGGCCACGGCTTGGTCAACTCATCCGCATGCTGTCGGCTGTGGCCGATGTCTGCCTTCGTCTTATTGTAGGGTTTGGGGTTTGGGGTTTGGGGTTTTGGGGTTTTGGGGTTTTGGGGTTTTGGGGTTTAATTAGGGTTTGAGGGTTAGGGTTTAGGGTTTAGGGATTAGGGTTTAGGGGTTTAGGGCTCTGAAGGGAGGGGGGTTCAAGGTGCCCTAATACTCCCCACAAATCCCTTAGACTCCCTAAGCTTCCCTAAGGTTCCCTAGGTACCTACCCCCCCTTGAAACTCTCCCTGAAGAACCCTATAATGGTCCGTGGGTTGGGACTCACGGGGCTTTTCACGTAAGGTCCGTAAGGCTCAAAGGGTTTCAGGGTATAGCGTTCAGGGTATAGGACCCCCGCCCCCAGCAACAAAACACGTGGAAACCATGAATGAACATCATCCAATTGACCATAAACGACTGATATTTTAGCTATGGCTGCTACTGCTACTATGGTTAACAGTAGCAACAGAATACAATGATGCTACTACCCATCAAAAGATCAGACCGTTATATATTCAACAGCAACATTAAGACAAACAAAATCAATGCCGATAACACTGGCAACGGCAATAACCAACAACAAACAGCAACTAAAGAAAAACGAAAACCATGACGACAGCAATAACAGAAACAATAGAATAACAAGCACCATAGCAATAACAGTAACAAGAACAACAATCGCAATAGCAATAGCAATATCAAGGACAACAGGCGCAATAGCCAGGGCCAGAACGCAGCGACGAGATGGTACGCAACAAATAAGTGTCTGTTTAGTGCCTCTTCTCACTTTCCCCTATTGATTCACTGATGCCGCCCGGTGAAGATCGTAAGAATCAGAGGGGTGCTCATGTTTGTCAACCGTCGGATCCCCCTTGTTACAGGTCTACCGCTTGAGCATTCGTGAGGAAGAGGCCTCAAATCAGTCCTAAATAAACCCTAAACTCCATAAACCCCACAACCATCCAATGGAACTCAGGTGGCCATGAAGAGCAGATTCAAGCTCTCAGCAGGCTCATCTGCGGCCGCCAGAGCGGCCGCCAGGAAGATGGAGCATCGGCCGATCCGAGCCATGCTCCCACCCTCGAAAAGCCCACGCAAGGCGGAGGAAGGCCCCTAAAAAAACAAGACAACTACTCAGCCAGGTCCTGCCCCCAAGTGAGTGGACAAAGGCTGCGTGCAACGTGCAAGGGTTGAGGACCTAGGCCGCGAACTCTGAAATCCTGGGGTTTAGGGTCTATAGGGTTTAGGGTTTAGGGTTTGAGGTTTAGGGTTTAGGGTTTAGGGTGAACCTAAACACCCTAGCAGGCCAGGACGGCACACGCCCTGAACCCCAAAGCCCTAAACCCTAGAAGCCCTGAACCCTCAACCCTAAAGCCTAAACCCTGAACCCTAAAACCTACAACCCCAAGTCCCAAGCCCCATCGACCCTAAACCACCACCTTGGGGTCTGGGGGTTTAGGGTTTAGGGCTTCGGGCTTAGGGTTTAGGGTTTAGGTGGGGGGGGGGGGGGGGGGGGGGGGTGCGGCTTTGGGGTGTCGGGGTTTTGGGTTTTCGGGTTTAGGGTTTTGACGGATTTGGGGGTTGGGGTTTTGGGGTTTTGGGGGGTTGGAGGGTTTTGGGCGTGGGCTTTTGGCTGCAAGGTGCGGGGATCGTCATGCAGGACTCATTTTGATGGCCCAGGAAGCCATGTGCCTCTAATAAACCTTCCTGTCTCGCACTTGCGGTTGGGGTGTGTAGGGTTTGGGTTTGACGGGTTTACCCTAAACCCCAAACTTTGGCCCTAAACCCTAAACCCTAAACCCTAAACCCTGAACCCTAAAACCAGGAATCCAGGGATCATCTGGCAGCTTCTTGCCTGGCATAGGCACACAGCAGAAAAACCACTTTTAGGGTTTAGGGTTTAGGGTTTAGGGTTTAGGGTTTGGCCCCAAAGCCACCACTGTCTAAGGACAGTTACATGGGCCCTGAATATGGTCCCCAACCTCCTTTAAAGGGTTCTGATGTAAGGGCCCGTCATTGGCATCGGGAACACAAGGGGTATAGGAGTACCCCCGTAAGAGCCCATACTAAGAGACCAAGTACCTACCCTAGACACCCGCAGAACTAGCAAGGAAGCATGTAAACCCTAAACCCTAAACCCTAAACCCGAAACCCTAAACCCTAAACCCTAAACCCTAAACCCTAACCCTAAACCCTAAACCCTGAGAAGTCGCGGGAGCCGTTTTGGGACGACTTCGCAGCTGCCGTCACCATCCGCGACATATCTTCCAGGTAGCTACGACGGTCATCTTGTCCTCTGCAAGGACGTGTATCCTGAAGCCACGCTTGCGGGGCTGAGTTGCTCAACCCTAAACCCTAAACCCTAAACCCTAAACCCTAAACCCTAAACCCTAAACCCTAAACCCCTAAACCCCTAAACCCCTAAACCCTAAACCCTAAACCCTAAACCCTAAACCCTAAACCCAAGAGGCTAATTTCATCTTCAGGGCTGAAACGCCTAGAGAAAGTATAAAGGACAAAGGTAGCCGCCCAGCACCTATGTACAAGGTCTCAACAAAGCAAGCCAACACCACTCTAGTCGCCTCTCTCTTGACTCCTCAACCTTTCCGCCTCTCTCTCTCTCTCTCTCTCTCTCTCTCTCTCTGTGGCTTTGTCTTGAATATCCTTAATTAGGCTGACTTGCCCCTAAATGGCCTTGATTGCGGGGGGAACCAGGCGGGGTAGCATAGGGGGGGTTAGCTTAGGGGTTTGTAGGGGAACCCATGATCTCTTTGGCTTTGTCGGAGTCCGTTTTTCTCTGTCTGCCGGTCTGTTGTGACTGTTCCTGAACCCTAAACCCTAAACCTTATAACCCTAAACCCTAAGCCCTAAACCCTAAGTCCATCTGCCGACCGGACATGCACTCGCGAAACTTGTGCTGGACTCGAACCTCTCGAGAGGACGAGCAGGCTTCAGAACCCTAAGCCCTTGCATATGAGCTGAAACCTTGGGGTTTAGGGTTTAGGGTTTAGGGTTTAGGGTTTAGGGTTTAGGGGGGGTTCCCCCCTATACTAACAGTCCTTAAATAGGGATGATAGTATCCCCCTATCAGAATCCCTCTTCGGGTCTGCTAGTATAAGGTGGAACCTCCCAGCTCTGGCCACCAAAAGCTATACCCCAAGCCTTTCAACTCTTGAGATTGCCCGCGAGCTACGCCAAGGCCCCGAAACTCCGAAACGCCGAGCGCGCGAGCTCCTTTTGCCGGCGCAGCACAGCGTCTCCCTGCCGCAGGGGGCGCGCCCCCCGGACGCTTTCTTACCCGAGCTTCTCTGGGACTGCTTCTGGTACCAGGCCCATCGCAGCCTTGGATGGCCCTTAAAACCCTTGAGTAAAAATCATTCCTAGATATGGTCCTCTTAAACCCAATCGGAGGGAAAAATGCAAAATATCCCTTAAGCGCCTACCTAGCAGCTCATCTTGATCAGGCTGGACCCTGGCGCCGCCCAAGCGCAGAATGAGCGCCTGTAGCTGGTCGAGGTCGGGGTCTTGCTCCCCAGCTGCAGCTTGGCTACTTGAGGGCGCCAGAGCCCGGATCTTGTCCATGCTGATGTGAAGCTCCTCAGTAGCCCAGTAGCCATATCATAATAAGGGCACCCTTTTTCGGTTGGTTACTTTATAAGGGAACCCAGAACCAAAAAAAGGGTAAAGGGTACTACTGGGGCTACTAAGGCTCCCTCATCTCAGATGCAGCGGCTCCCAGCTCTTCTTCGAAACGATGCCGGTGTTTCCGTTGCTCCGCAGGGGCGCGCAAGCGGTCTTCGCAAGCTGCGACAAGGCGCTTCAACTTGCCCCGGCACTTGCGGATGTCCCTGAGGCCTTTTGCCTGCCAGCTGCCCATGCGCTTCTCAAAGCGAGCTACTCGCAAAGTCAGCTTCTTCGGCTCCATTCGTGGCATGAGGCTACTCTGGATCGAACCTAAACCCCTAAAACCTACACCCTAAACCCCAAGCCCCAAGCCCTCAGCCCCAAATCCTAACCCTAGCTGTCGGACCTGCCGCACGGGCCAAACGACTCAAGTGACTCAAGCACACGCGCAAGTAGTCCAACCCTACAATTCTGCTAGATCTGGAACTCCAAACCTCAACGCACCACTGACGAAGGATGCTGGGGCGGAAGGAAGTATCTATCTCCAAGGAAGGATGCCGCTACACTTGAGCCGACGCATTTGCCATCGCGGAAGCTCGCAGCTCTCTCTCTCCCTCTCCCTCTCTCCCTCTCTCCCTCTCTCCCTCTCTCCCTCTCTCCCTCTCTCCCTCTCTCCCTCTCTCCCTCTCTCCCTCTCTCTCTCTCTCTCTCTCTCTGTGTCTCTTCTCCCAAAGAGTCCTAAGTACCTATATGGGCTACACTTACACAAACCAGAGTAGTAATTCCTATTGTAGAAACCCTACTTTCTACGATGCAGGTGCTTAGGACCCTTTGGGTCTGTCTCTCTCCCTCCCCTCCCTCCCAGCATGCTGAGGCTCAAGCACCCTGAAGCCTCAACCAGGGTTTAGGGTTTAGGGTTTAGGGGCCCTCAACTGCACTGTGAGCTACCGAGCCACCGGTCGTGCTGCTTGGTGTGGGCGCAGGAATGGAAGGGCTCCAGTCGGAGGATGGTGCCCAACGGATACCTGGTAGGGTTTGGGGGTTTAGGGGTTTAGGGTTTAGGGTTCAGGGTTCAGGGTACAGGTCTCAGGGGCTAGGGTGAAACTCTAAAAGCGTTTGGAGGTCAGAGGCGAAAGAGATGTTCCTAAGCCCTTCACCCTCTAAACCCCAAACCTGAAAGACTGAAAGCCCTACACCCCAAGCGGACTTAACATCAGAACAAATCTTGAACGCAACCCTTTCTAAACTCTCACACACACACAAACCAGAGAACCCTTGACGCCCTCCCCATGCTCCCGAGACCTGTCATGACCCCTGTATGGAGCCCCCCTTAATGTAAACCCTTGAACCCTTAAATCCTTAAACCCTAAAACCCCTTAACCCTGAATCCTTCATCCTGACACCTTTTTGACCCACATAGAACCCTAAACCCTAAACCCTAAACCCTAAACCCTAAACCCTAAACCCTAAACCCTAAACCCTAAACCCTAAACCCTAAACCCTAAACCCTAGACCCTAGCTAGGCCCTAAACCCTAAACCCTAAACCCTTAAACACTAAACCCTAAAACCTAAACCCTAGACCCTAGCTAGGCCCTAAACCCTAAACCCTAAACCCTAAACCCTAAACCCTAAATCCCCTGAACCCCTAAACCCTTAAACCCTACACATCCCCCTCAGAGCGAAGCCCCCTTCTCGGACCTGGGGCGCAACCCCGACACTCCAAACCCAGACCCTAAGCCCTATAGGGTTGGTTTAGGGTTTAGGGTTTAGGGTTTAGGGTTTAGGGTTTCGGGTTTTTGGTTTAGGGTGGAGGGTTTAGGGCTTAGGCTGAGGAATTTCCTGAACCTACACTCTATAAGGCCTGGAAGATTTCGGCTTGAATCAAGCTGCTTGGCGAAGTCCAGCGGGGAGCCGTCACTGGAAGAGACCAACCCAGCCTGGCAAGCTGTCTGTTGCAGATCCGGGATCGAGGGCCCATGTTGCTTGGGGCTTACAGGGTTTACTTGGCTACGGTTTCGGGTTTCGGGTTTAGGGTTTCGGGTTCATGGTACTTCTTAACCAATGATAACTGTGCTTACAACCCACTTATGAGCCCCTTAAGTGCCCTAATAGGGTTATAAGTACAATTATGATTGGTTGATAAGTACCATGAACCTCCAAGTAGGGCTTACAGGGTTTAGGGCTTAGGGCTCAGAGTCCACCTCTGAACCGCACATCCCAAAGCCATGAACTAGACCTGGCGCCAAAGCAGAAACCCTGCAACTCAAGCGAACAACCTGAGCCCTGACATACTATGTCAGACTACACCCTAAACCCCACAACTTAAACCGCTAAACCTCTGAACCCTAAATCCTTAACCCCAACAGCTTCTAGGCCTTAGGCCAACAGAACCCTCAACCCCTAACAGCCCCCGAGCAACGCTGAACAGGCCAGCCGCCTCCTGCTTGAGGTCCACCACCTTCCCAGGCATGTCGGGTTTCGGGGTTGATAGGGCTTAGAGGGTTAATAGGATTTATAATAGGGTTTAGGGGCTTAAGGGGTCTGTAGGCTTTTCAGGGTTAAGGGTGTAGGGGCTTTAGAGGGTTAGTTAATAGAGTTTACAATAGGGTTCAGGGGTTTAGGGGGTTCACAGGGTTTTAGGGTTCAAGGGTTTAATGGTTCAGGGGCCTTAGGGGATCTAAGGGGGTTTTAGGGGATCTAAGGGGTTTTGGGGGGGTTATAGTGTTTAGGGTTTAATGGTTCAGGGGTTTTAGAGGACTTAAGGGGTTTAGGGTTTAAGGGTTTAAGAGGTGAAGGGTTCAGGGGTTTTAGAGGATCTAAGGGGTTAAGGGATGTTGGGATGCATGAAGCACCAAACGTGGCAGAGCGTACCCCTGCGACCCTTGCCAAGAAGTGTGGCAGTGCTGCACACCAAACCATCATACCCTGAGCCCTGAAGCCTAAAGCGTTTAGGGTTTAGGGTTTATAGGGTTTAGGGTTTAGGGTTTAGGGTTTAGGGTTTAGGGTTTAGGGTTTAGGGTTTAGGGTTTAGGGTTTAGGGTTTAGGGTTTAGGGTTTAGGGTTTAGGGTTTAGGGTTTAGGGTATCTAAACTCTGTTTAAACCCCGAACCGATGCAACCGAAACCCGATCCGGAGAAGCCAAAACAACTCTGAACCCTGAGCAGTAAGATCTCATCTTGAGGGTTAGGGTTTCGGGCTTCGGGCTTCGGGCTTCGGGCTTCGGGCTTCGGGCTTCGGGCTTCGGGCTTCGGGCTTCGGGCTTCGGGTTTCGGGTTTCGGGTTTCGGGTTTCGGGTCTACTTAGGGGTTCATGGCCCCCACACCCCCATGAAAACGCATCACAGTGGGGGCCTAAACCCTAAACCCTAAACCCTAAACCCTAAACCCTAAACCCTAAACCCTAAACCCTATAAACCCTAAACCCTAAACCCTAAACCCTAAACCCTAAACCCTAAACCCTAAACCCTAAACCCCAACAAACCCTGCACTCGGCCTTCAACTCAGGATGGCCCTCCAAGCGTCCGAAGTTCGCTTCCTCAGGGTTTGGGGGGGTTTAGGGTATAGGGTTTAGGGTGTAGTTCCTTTAGGAGTTGGAGGCTGTCAAAGACCAGTGTCGCTTTTAAAGGTCCTGTACAAAGGGGCTCGACTTTCCAGGTGGGACCCTCTAAACCTCGAACCTTGGGTATCGAGGTTCCTATAGGAAGGCTGGACCTGTCTTACGAAGCCACTGCAGTGTCGGGGGAGTATTCCGCCTAGGCCCCAAACGGGTTTCAATCTAGGGGAGCCCAACCCTGAAACCTTAAACCCTAACCCCTAAACCGCAGCTCTTACAGGGGTTGAGAAGGGAGCCTAACCCCCCCAAAAAAAGGCATCCTAGTGCATCGTTTGTGCATGGTTCGGAGTTTAGGGTCTAGGGTCCAAGGTTTTCGGGGAGGGTTTGGTTCTGGTGTAGGGTTTAGGGTTTGGGGTTTAGGGTTTAGGGTTCTAGAGGTCTTAGTATCTGGCCTTCCCTTGCTTCGAGCAGGCTGTCCAGCCCATGTCCACGAGCAGCAGATTCCTTCGCTCGGTGCTTTGTGCTTTTTGCGGGAGGGTGTAGGGTTTAGGGTTGGGGTTTAGGGGTTTAGGGTTTAGGGTTTAGGGTTTAGGGTTTAGGGTTTAGGGTTTAGGGTTTAGGGTTTAGGGTTTAGGTTTTTAGGGTTTAGGGTTTAGGGTTTTGGGTTTAGGGTTTAGGGTTTAGGGTTTAGGGTTTAGGGTTTAGGGTTTAGGGTTTAGGGTTTAGGGTTTAGGGTTTAGGGTTTAGGGTTTAGGGTCTAGGGTCTAGGGTCTAGGGTCTAGGGTTTAGGGTTTAGGGTTGAGGGTTTAGGGTTTAGGGTTTAGGTTCAGGGTTTAGGGTTTTTTTGGTTTAGGGGTGCGGGACCAGCTTGAAGCGGGGATCTTTGCAGGCAACTGCGGGTCAGGAGTTGCAGGGCTAAAGGATGGAGCCTTATTGGGGACCTTAGGGTTTAGGGTTTAGGGTTTAGGGTTTAGGGTTTAGGGTTTAGGGTTTAGGGTTTAGGGTTTAGGGTTTAGGGTTTAGGGTTTAGGGTTTAGGGTTTAGGGCTATTCGGGGGCTACTTCGGTATGTAGGGACGATATGCGGGTCATAGAAGGGGTGATATACCTAGTTGCTGAGTTCATAAGCCACCAAAAAGTGTACACTTTCAGTTCTATAGGGGACTATAGTATCCCAAAAAGTGTAAAGTGCACTCACTCAGCTACTTAATATCGGGGAATAAGATTTCAGGTACCTTCTAAGGGTCCCTCCTTATTGACCCTTAAGAGAAGCATCTTCTTCGGATACGCGCCGATCACGCGCGTGAGCACCCGAGCAGCGATGCCCTCCTCCTCAGATCGGGTTTAGGGTTTAGCGTTAGGGTTTAGGGATAGGGGTTATAGGGGTTAGGGTTTAGGGTTTAGGGTTTAGAGTTTGGGGTTTAGGGTTTAGGGTTTTCGGTTTAGTGTTTGCACAAGCATAACATGTGAAAACCCCCAAAGCAATCTTCCTAGCTCACGAGACACAGAGTCAGCGAACTGTTGCACCCCCGCAGGTTCTACAGCTTAGGGTTTAGGGTTTTTGGGTTTAGGGTATAGGGTTTAGGGTTTAGGGTTTAGGGTTTAGGGTTTAGGGTTTAGGGTTTAGGTCTCAGGGCTTAGGATTCAGCAGGGGATTTCGGGGTTTTGGACTTGGGACTTGGTGAGGGGATTTAACGGTTTAAGGGCACTTAGGGTCTAGCAATTCAGGTGTGTAAGGGTGGAGGGGTACTTAGGGTCTAGTAGTTCCGGTGTGTAGGGGTACTTAGGGTCTAGTAGGGGATGTAGGGGTTTAGGGTCTTGAGCTTCTCGTTGCCATTGCCTCTTACATTGTTGCGCAGAGGAGTGGACGATGGTCCGGTGTTGGGGGTTTCGGGTTTGGGGTTTGGGGTTTAGGGTTTAGGGTTTAGGGTTTAGGGTTTCGGGATGTTTCGGGTTTATGGGAGGATTAGGGTTTAGGGCTTGCGGATGCTGGGGGGGCTCTTGGGTGGGCGAGTGTGTGTGTGTGTGTGTGTGTGTGTGTGTGTGTGTTTCTTGAGGGTATAGTTTGAGGCTTTCAGGGTTTGAGGGATTTGGGATTTTCGGGTATTCCAGTTCAAACCTAAACTCTAGACCCTAAACCCTAAACCCGAAACCCTAAACCCCAAGCCCCAAAAGGAAGCTGTAGCCTCGAATCCGAGGGGCGGCGCAGGACCCAAGCGCTTCCTGCATGGTGTCGTAGTAGATGTAGTTCCCGGGATGCATCCTTGGCGGCGTGGTTTTTTGGGGGTTTAGGGTTTAAGGTTTAGGGTCTAGGGTTTAGGGTTTAGGTTTTAGGGTTTAAGGCTTAGGGTTTAAGTTCAGGGTTTGGGGTCTAGGGTTAGGGTTTCGGGTTGAGGGTTCAGCATCTGCAGTCCAAGCATTCACTAGTCAAGCTCGCTACTCTCTGGTATCGGATATCTACTCACCCACCCTTGATCCCATAGCATTAGGAAAATATGTTAGTTCTTAACTGCATGTATTCACAGAAGCGCAGATGTTCTTAAAGCGCCCGCCTCAAGTTTTTTCGCTATACCACTTCAAAGGGGGAGACGGGGGGAGAGCGAACCGATAAATCGGAATGCACCTTCACCTTGTGTCGAACGAAGGGTTTAGGGTTTAGGGTTTAGGGTTTAGGGTTTAGGGTTTAGGGTTTAGGGTTTAGGGTTTAGGGTTTAGGATTTAGGGTCTAGGGTCTAGGGTCTGGGGTTTAGGGTCTAGGGTAGTTGCAGCCAAAAGATGAGCCGTCGGCTTCACTGACATCATGAAGTGAAGGGCCTGGTTAACCTCGTCTGTCGATCACATGTTGAGCTGCGTCTGCGCTAAATCGCATTAATGCCTTGCAAACCCCCGGGTGAGGTTTGAAAAGGGTGCAGAGTAACTCTGCCCCTGCCACAAGGTTGAAATCAAAGCTTCTGAGGGTGCATGTGCCCTAACCCCAAAACCCAGAACCCCTAGACCCCTAACTTGCTTGGGCCTGAAGATACTTTGTGTGTACTCGCTGCAAGCAGACGTTTCCAATATTGAGGTACCTAGACCCGTATTTGGAAAGCTAATCTCAAGCCTCCAGCCAGGTTTGACCCAACTGAACTCACGATCTGGGCTAGTGACATGTTCTCAGCTAAAACTACCCGAGTTGCCAATGGAAGTGGGTTTACCCATCTGTGGCAGCTGATGATTAGGGTTTAGGTTTCAGTGTTTAGGGTTTAGGGTTTAGGGGGGTTTATGTGCTATGTGGCTTAGATTTCAAAAAGATCTTGCCTCGCTCTTGTTTTCACCTCCAACGTCGGGTCATCCGCGGGGGCGGCGGGCGTCGCAGGCAAGAAGGTGCTGGGAGGTTCATGGTACGTATTAACCACTTATCCCTAAGGGTCCATGTACCTATCTAGCATATACTTGGGCCTTAAAGGGGTTCCCATATGGTAGCTTTACAGCCCAAGTATATACTATACAGGTACATGGACCTTTAGTGTTATTATATCTGTACGTATAACCCACTTTGAAGCCTCTTAAGTGCCCTCATATGGTTGTAAGTACAGTTAAGTGCCCTAGTATGGTTGTAAGTACAGATACAAGTACAGTTATAGCTGGTTCATAAGTATCATGAACCTCCAAACAATCATCCTCGTGCGGTACAATGCGGGCAGGACCCGGTCATTTCAAGGCTGCGAAAAACGCAGGCGCTGTCTTCCCCATGTCCCAGTCACTTCGGGCAAAGAGGCCGCATATGCAGTCAAGGGCCATGTGGGGCCAGAGCTTCCCACAAGTTGCTTCTGAAGAAAGGCTGGGCAAACCATCTCTGCTTTTCGGCAACAAGGACATGGCTGTGTGCTTGTGGAGCTTGAGATTGCTTGAGGTGCACATGCTGTGACATCGGACGTCCCGCAGGGGTGCTGCCCGAGCCCACATCGAAACCGCCGACACCTTCCGACTTTTGTGTGGAAGGTAGAGACAGCAAAGCTCAGTGCAATCCCCCGGTTAGGTCGCCCCGTTCCTGCGCAACAAGTTGGCGATGGAGAGCTCTTCTGGGGACATAGGTCTATTCCCGTTCTCAGCAAAGCTTGTCAACCATTGCAGCGGTGTTTGTCCGGTGTGATCACGCGAGTTCACTTCTGCCCTGGCACTCAGTAGGATAGGAACCATCCGTTCCTTCTTCTGGAGCACTACTTGCAACAGCGGCGTTTGTCCATTATTTCGGTCATCCGCGGCTGCTCGCTGTTCGATAAGAAGCTGGGCGATCTTTGTCTCATCGACCGTGGAAGGTCCCATAATACACCTTCTTGGTAGACCAGTAACCATCTTATAACAAGGGCACCCTTTTTGGGTTGGGTTACTTTATAAGGGAACCTTGCAAAAAAAAAAAGGAAAAAGGGTACCGTTGGGCTACCAGGCCTTGTAAGCGGCGTCGCACCAGCACTGTCCTGTGAGGGTTTCAAGCAGTCAAGCAGCAACGAAAGCGTTGGTCTCATGCTCTTGCAGGACTAGACAGCCTACGGAATTCTTGTTACTTCCTGGCCAAAAAGCGAGCACGCCAAACCAAAGCCAAAAAACAGAAAGAATCTCACAGCAAGTCGGTCCTGGCAATTCGCGTTCGCTCCCCTGTCTAACTCCGCGCGCACCTGCTCGAAATTGCGGGCTGCTGCAGCAGCGCAAAGCGAATTGCACAGCTGTTGCTTCCTCTCCGTCTCCTTCCCATTTGGGGGTTTCTGAAAATAGGGGTTTCCTTGTTGGGGTCCTTAATATAAGGCCGACCTAGTCAGGGAAAGCCGATACGGATTGAGAGGTCGGATCTCTCTTCTAGCACTTTTGCGAAACGGGGCTGAGATGTCTGAGATGTGGGCGTTTCCAAAATTATAGGGTTCCCTTTAGGGGTCCATACTATAAGGGGAATCCCCCTACTTGGGGGTCTATATTAGGGGTCCCCCTTATTTTCGTAAACCCCCAAGTCCTGCTGCAGCTGTCGGACGTATTCTGCGAGGGCCTGGTCAAGGTGGCAGCTGGGCGCTGGGCAGTCAACGCACTTCCAAGACATCCGGGACCGCAGGGCATACTGCTGCGGGGTCCAGTGCTCATCCCTCTTGGCCTAGGAGGCCCCTTAAAGCCTCTGAAAGATGTACTTGAAAGTGGTTTAGGGAGTTCAGGGTTTAGGGTTTAGGTCTATTCCTAGATGTTCTCCTCTTAAACCCAATATGGGAAAATAGACAATGTCCCAAGGGCCTACCTAGTGGCGGACATATACCAGGATGGCAGCCCGGCTATCAGCTGCTTCCGGAGACTCGCGCTGGTCGTTGCGCAGGTGCCGAGCAAGTCGATCAGCAGCACTTCAGGGGACCAAGTTCCCCGGAGCCAAGAGCCACGAGCGCCCCAGGAAGCGACGCCCAGAGTAGGAATCTCGTAGTTGTAGAGCACCGAGCTGCTCAGCGGCCGCTCACCAGCCACTTCCTGTACTC